ATTTTATTAATAATTACACACACACACACACACACACACACTATATTATATCACTGGATCCTTCTATACTTTGGACATTCATTCAATACGCTCATTTTAAGTACCTTTTATGGGCAGACAAGATGTCAGATGCCGCCGTGGAGACTTGAAACATGTAAATCCAGCCTCTGCCATCTAGTTCATCTTCTAAAAGTGAGGTTTAGACAAATACACAACTTACCATATTCTGCACATCAGAACATGGCCAATGCTATCAAAAAGTCACAAGTAGGTGATGGCTGAAAAGGAGAGCTCCCATGAGGCTGAGGGGAGTAATGAAGAAACCATTGTGGTTAGGACCCACCAGCCATTACTCTCCAGCAGACTCCAGAGACCTACCCACGTCCTTTATCGTAGACATCACAATGCCCTCGGAGGTGAGAATGGCTAAAATTCAGTACAGTTAGCCTTATAGAAATTCCAGACTTAATACTAGGACCTTGTGTATCTTTAATCCTCATGACAACCATATAAGGGACACACTATTATTCTTTTTGTTTTAAATATATTTTTATTGATTTCAGGGAGGAAGGGAGTGGGAGAGAGAGATAGAAACATCAATGATGAGAGAGAATCATTGATTGGCTGCCTCCTGCACTCCACCCACTGGGGATCAAGCCCGCAACCCAGGCATGTGCCCTTGACCGGAATCGAAACCAGGACCCTTCAGTCCTCAGGCCGATGCTCTATCCACTGAGCTAAACCAGTTAGGGCCACACTATTATTCTTAAAGATGGAGAAACTAAGCTGAGGGCTGTGGTCACCTGTTAAATGTCATCATAGTCAGGTTTTGAACTTAAATCTAAGTCAGAAGCCTATGTGGTTCTCGTTACCCTATCCTGCCGCTCTCAAGCGTAAAAAACACCTAGTCATTGTATTTAACTAAGAGACAATGCTCTGAAGGGGAAGTGTTTAAGAGCCAAAGGAGCGAAGCCTTAGTAAACAGTGGAAGGGAGGGGGATACGGGATTTGTATTAAGATGGTCTGAGGACACATCCCAGAGGCACGCAGGTCTGTGATTTCTCTCTAGGTCTTTGATTTATCTGACTATACTTTTTCTCTCAGCAAAACCACTAGTTAGCAGACTTTTTAAAATATTAATAACAGTAATTTTCAGATGACCTTAAAGATTATCTAGGACCTTGGTACAGAAAGCCAAGTGTCCTCAAAGGAAAATCCTTGCCTGGCTGGTGTAGCTCAGTGTTTGAGGGTCGACCTATGAACCGAGAGGTCACTGGTTCAATTCCCGGTCAGGGCACATGCCCGGGTTTCAGGTTCGATCCCCAGTAGGGGGCGTACAGAGACAGGTGATGTATCTTTCTATCCTCCCTTTCTCTCTTAAAAAAAAATCAATAAAAACATATTTTTTAAAAAAGAAAACATTGTGTGTCTTTCTTCCTCAAATCCTGTAGATGGCGCCCATGCACTGGTTTCAATTAAAGGAACCCAGCAATGATCTTTAGGACTCAAAATAGGCATTCAGTATACATCACAGGGAAATAACACTACCATTACTCAAAGTGAGAAAGAAAAAGAAAAGCAAATTCTCAATTCAGTTATTGGAAATCTTTTTTTTTTTTATTGATTTGAGAGAGAGAGAGAGAGAGAGAGAGGAAGGGGATGGGGGGAGAGAAAGACAGAGAAAGAGAAAAACAGAGAGAGAAACCAATTTGATGTCCCACTTATTTATGATTCTTAATTCTTGTATGTGCCCTGACCGCAGAGTGAACCTGAAACCTTGGCATATTGGGATGATGCAGTAATCAACTGAGCAACCCAGCCAGGACTACTGGAAATCTTCTAAATATGTTTGAAAAAACTCAGATATATGAATCTACTTTTTTAACTGTAAATTTTATTGAACCTAAGTACAGATCAAGTATTTCCAATGGAAATTTAGCTTCAGGATTGAGATGTGCTCTAAGTGTAAAATACACACTGAGTCCTAGCTGGTTTGGCTCAGTGGATAGAGCATCGGCCTGCAGACTGAAGGGTCCCAGGTTCGATTCTGGTCAAGGGCACATGCCTGGGTTGTGGGCTCGATCCCCAGTAGGGGCGTGCAGGAGACAACCAATCAATGGTTCTCTCTCATCATTGAGGTTTCTATCTTTCTCTCCCTCTCTCTTCCTCTCTGAAATCAATAAAATATTTTTTTTAAAAAAGAGTTACTTTTAAAAAAATACACACTGAATTTCAAAGATTTCATATAAAATATGTAAATATCTTGATAATTTTATATTGATTACATATCAAAATAATAATATTTTAAATCAATTGAGTTCAATAATTTATTAAAAATAATTTTACCTGCTTTTCACTTTTATTAATGGACCTACTAGAAAATGTAAAACTACATTTATGGCTTGTATTATTTATTACATCAGCCTGCTCCAAATTATTCCAAGTAGCTGCCAGTCTGTGAGTCTTTCCCATACAAATTTGTTCAGTTGGGTTTTCAGGTTCTAGTGTAGAACGTGATATTAATCCCCTTTACTTTGCTTTTTCTTGGATCTGATTTATTATTCCAGCCAGGCAATGCAGTCTTTTGGAATTTTGATCCCATATATTTGTAATCCCCTTCAACTTCATGTTATCCACCAATCTGACAAGTAAACTATTTATACTCATCCAAGTCTTTGGTTAAAATTTTGACAATGTCAAGGCTGAAGACATTATTAGAAATCACTTTTCATTTTAGAAACAACCCATTAATTAAGCATTGCCTTGGATGTTAGATGTACTTTTTGTAGCTAAATAATTCACCTAATTGTAACAGCATATGGTTCTTACTGTATTGCCCCATCTGCTGCCAAAGAAAAGATGGGTGGAAAGGAGGTGGGGCAACAGTAGCTCCGGATCAATTAGGAAAGCTATAGTTCGGGTCAAGGCCTAGGGCTGGGGGTGAGGCATCTAAGACTAAAATCTGAGATAAGCACGACTAAAGCCTGAGAGAGCCTACTGTCCCAACCGTGGGCTTTCTGACAACAGGGTGAGAAATGGCTCTGGGGCCTGAACCATAGAATGAAGTGTAAGCCTGCCAGGAGGGAGGCAGGCACACCTGGTGGCAGTTCAGGGTGAGCCGGCCTTTCCTTTGAACTCTCAAGTCCCTTTGTGTCCCCGTCTTAGAGTCAGGGAATCTAAAGTCAGAAGAATCTTAGACATCCTTTTATTCAAACTTCTACTCTGCTTTATAACACACATTCCTGCAAAACTGACAGTTCTGGCCATCTTGGTACTGCTAACACACCTCCACCAGCAGGGGGCTCATTATTTCATCCAAAAAGTGAATTTAAGAAATCCTTCCTTAAATTAAGTGGAAATCTGACTCCTTACAACTTCAATTCACTGGTCTGACTTCTGAATAAACCTAATTCTTCTTCCACATGGCAGTTACAGTGATACTTTAAGGCAGTAAATGGGCCTCCTAATTCTGTTCATACCCAGACGATCCTAGCACTTTTGGTCACTCTGTATTCGACATGGTTGGGACTTCACCTCCCAGGAGCCCTCCTCTGACACACTCTGGTGAACCTGTCACACCCCTCGGAAAGTGCAGTGCCTGGCACTGAGCACAGCACCCTCCCAGTGATCACCTCCCTTCCTCCTGACACCCCATTTCCTCTGACATAGTCTGATGGGAAAAAGTCACATTATATTCTGACCCATTCAGAGCTTGCAGCCTATTAAGTTGCACACTGATTCTATGCAATGCTATTCATTGCATGTGTACTCCCATGCATCTGTCTCAGACAATGCGAATCAATGTGACACATCGTTGCCTGGAATTCAGAAGGATCCTCAGATTCCTTCTCAACACGATCTCCAGTCGGCACCGACAGTTGACACACAGATACATTACAGCCTATTTGACATCTAAGTGCCAAGTTAACCCCCCACCCTATGCTGTACCTCTGCAGCCGCTTTTATCTGACAAATCAAAGGCTTTTACATTTGTCCTTGATTGAATTTATTGATATTAGATTTGGCCCATCACATCCAGTTTCATCATCTGCATTATATAGTGCTTAATAGGACATGTCTGACTCCATCCAAATATTTCCCTTCACCTTATTTTTTAGTATTGCTCCCTAATGGTTACTGGAGATTATCTATTTTATTATCTGATGTATTTATTTATTTTAATATATTTTATTTATTTCAGAGAGGAAGGGAACAGGAGAGAGAGAAACATCAATGATGAGAGAGAATCATTGATTGGCTGCCTCCTGCATGCCCCCTACTGGGAATCAAGCCCGCAATCTGGGCATGTGCCCTTGACCGGAATCAAACTCGGGACCCTTCAGTCCTCAGGCCGATGCTGTATCCACTGAGCCAAACCAGCTAGGACCTGATGTATTTATTGAATGGAGTTCTATGTTCTCTGTTTAGTTTTAAAGTATTTCCATCTCCTATGAAATTAGCTGCTTTATAAATGTACTAGTAGCCCAGTGCAAGAAACTCGTGCCCGGCCTGCACCTTCTCCAATCTGGGACCCCTCGGGCCTGAACTGGCAGTCGGACATTCCTCTTGCAATCTAGGACCGCTGGCTCCTAACCGCTCACCTGCCTGCCTGCCTGATCGCCCCTAACCACTCTGCTTGCCAGCCTGCTCGCCCCCAACGGCCCCCCCCCCACCAGCCTGATCACCCCCA